TTGACGCCAAAAAGTGGTTTCCTGACTTTGAGGGTCAACTTAGTAAATTTGTGTCTTCGGTAGACTTGATGCTTCGGTAAGCTGTGCGATCTGCAATAAAATCAAACGCACGGTAAGACCTGGGGCACCGGTGTGGTACCGGCCGAAGGCTCTCCGATGCTTAAGTAAGTTCGGGAATAGAAAGTTTAACTGACAGATCAATAGGCTTGTATGCCGTAGGTTCTGATTACCTTTACTTTGGGATAGTTGGCCTCCTTTTATAGGCCTTGGGAGGTGTGCATTTTGTTGATAATTTCGATGTGGGACTGTGGGCGTCGCTAGGGAGCGCGCCACGTGTCCCTGGAGAGGGCGTTGCCCTAGTGGAGAGATCGGTAGGGGGGATGCCGAGGGCGCCTCTGACCAAGCCCAATTTCCTCCACGTGTCTTGCCCTCATTGGTCGTTTATTTTGGGTGTAAACAAATGGATAACAAACACTTCAAAAAGCACATTAGCTAGCTGCTTGATCTGTGGGAATGCTAACTCCAAGAAAGGTAAAAATTATAACAACAATAATGCTACGGACATCAAATTTTTACACCAAATAATTGGATCTCAATTTATTATTATTATTATTTAAATAGATTCACTTCAAATTACAAGCGATATTGGTAGATGGAGAATTAAATCTAAGACCTCGGATGCAGGAATAAACACTTTTAACCACTTAACCTATAACCCCTAGCCGTAACCCATCCCTATACCCTCCTTAGCCGCTCCACTCCAGTTGAAGCATTTCTCTCCATGAATAAGCAACTCTTGTATTAGATTCTATTTGAACTATATAGACTGTTTGTTATTAATTATTTTAGGCAGCAATGTGCTCGACTAGACAAGCATGTTTTCACTTTTCATTATGGCTTAACTTCATCCCAGATGCTTGCTTTGATGTGGAAACACTTATTATACCTAAAGGTTACTGATTTATCTTGAAGTACAATTAGTACTTGTATATGATTATTATGCTTTAATAATAATTTGCAATTCAATTTAATTGTATTGTATTATTATATATTTTTATTAAAATAAATTATGTACCGAAAGATTTACATCTCAAATGCTTCAAACTTTACGCAACGCCTTGCAGGACAAAAAACACTCATTTTTAAAAACATTTGGGTGTTATTAAATGTGGGATGTAGTCATTGTAACTTGAAAAATTATTTTGCTTCAAACTTTACGCCAGGACAAAAAACACTCATTTTTAAAAACATTTGGGTGTTATTAAATGTGGGATGTAGTCATTGTAACTTGAAAAATTATTTAATCTCAATAACCATTTCATGTTAGAGCAAACTTTTATATTAAAAGGGCCAAGTGGAAAATGACCTTGACTTACGGATAAGAGGTGTCAAGTTCAAATCCTCATGACATCATTTTTGTGTGTGAGAAATCCTCCAACCCTCTGGTTTAGACTATCGTTAATTTTTTTTTTTATAAGGGGTGCCTTCAATAAATTGCAAGGTGGCAATAAAATTTAACATTTTGTTTTTTGGTATATAAAAAAAAAGAGAAGACGCGTCTTTAAAAAAGAAGAAGGACATATTGCTACTTTACACAACACCAAATAAACGACATTTTACGAAAAAAAGTTCAAATAAAAGCAAAACATTGCCATTGTGGTTGAATTCCCTGTTGTCTAAAATGTGCTGTTGTCTCTTCACTGTCCTCTTCACTTCATCCTCCCGCGGACGATATACTCTTTCCCTCTCTCTTTTGTTTTCCTTCTCCACCGAGCCGTTGCCACTATTCTAACCCTAACATTTCCTTCAAATCTCAGCGATTGTCGAAGTCGTTGTATGATCAGGTATAATCTCTCGTGAACATTTTCGAATCGAATTCAGTGTATATATGTATGTACTGATTTTGGGTTTTTGTTTATTCATAAAGTTTTAATTTTTCTACTCTTTATTTCAGACCAACGAAACTCTCTTTCTCAGTGAAGTTCCAGCCTAAAGTACCGATTTTGGTTTCTCTCTCTCTCACTGTGGAAGTACCAATTGGGTGTCATCTTGCCTTGGGATTCTAGGGTATGCTGTTTTTTTTCTTCCTTCTTTCTATATATGTGTATGAATTGGATCTGACTATTGTCTGATTTGGGTTTTGGACAGTTTTTTATGTTCTTTTGTCTGCTTACTGTCTCTTTTCTTGTGGAGAATGTTTATATATATATATGCCACATTTCAATTGGTGGTAATGGTTTAGTAATTGAGAGTTTGTTTTGGTTTGCCTTATTTGAAACTGTGACTTTAACTTCTTTCTGTCGGAAAATGGATTATTCTTTCATCCATGTATAATTTCATCTGTCTACATTCATTCATTTCACAAATACTGCTAAATGCCTTAAACAATTTGTTAATAGAGATCCGATGACATGAGAGGACCACCAAACCATGACCAGACAAACCCATTGTTGAGTGGATCAATCATAAGTCCCATGGGCTTACTTATATTGTTTTTCTTTTTTCTTTTTAATTTCGACTATTGTTATGCATGAATTTTTATAATGTCAATTTGTTGCATGTGTTCCAGTTTATTTGAGTATCGCTAGGACCTAAAGCAATTTTGCCTTACTAATGAATTTCCAGAGTACTTTAAGTACTTTTACATGTATTCACAGTTTTGTGTAAGTGTTGTAATTCACTGATTAAAATGTTTTTTTCCCTTAATGTATGCATGTATGTAATACATCAACCCATGCTCATTTTTTGCAGCTTGGAAGATTCAGGTATGGGTTTACCCAAACCCAATGAGACCTCTACTTCAAAGGAGACTATGGACGCTACCTCAAGTGGGGCAAAGAGGAAACGCGGGATAACGAGTATGCATCGCATAGTGAAGAATAAAAATACTGGTAAGAAATTAGTAGTGGAGTATACCCCAAAGGGCAAACCATATGGGAAGGTAGCATCAGAATTGGCTTCTTACATTGGGGTGCTGGCACGTACCACAGTCCCCATCAGTGTTGAAAGCTGGCCTAAGGTGGAAAAGGATTTGAAAAATAAAATTTGGGAATCTGTAGAGGTATGTAGTTGACTTAAGCTCATGTTCTTCGAATCTTTTCTTTGATAACCAATCTGCTCACTCCATTACTTTGTAGGCGGCATTTGTCTTAGCCCCTAAAAGCAGAAAAATGGTGTTGACCTCTGCATCCAATAGATGGAGGCAATTCAAGAGTGACCTAACAAGAAAATATATTATGCCATTTAAAGATGAGGCTGAAGCCTTAAAAAACCCACCAGAAGACTATGGTTTCATTAAGCAACAACATTGGAAGCAATTTGTAAATGGCCGTTTAACCAAAGAATTTCAGGTACAATGAGGGGATTCCATTTTGTTCCTAGCTATTTCCTTATTTGTTTTGCAGTGCATGATAGGACTTGCTAGTAAAGGAAGAGGTCCACACCATTTCCTTATATTTCTACCTTTCTTCATTCCTTTTTCAGTTCATTTGCCAATTAAAAGTGTCCAATGGCTTTGGAAGGAAACGGTCCACGCCACACCCCTCGCAGTGCATGATAGTAACTCTGTGTGCTTGATTTATAAAATGACTTACTTTCTGGTCATATATATACCACATAAAGCGAGATTCTGGTCAAATGCATACTGCATGATACTAAACACAATACAGATGGACCTCCTTTTGGAATATTTGTTGTTTATGCGCAGTATGTATTTGGCAATTTATTGTAATTTTTGAGAGTTAGACTTTCAGATTGCTGCTTTCTTAAACGACCAGAATGTAAGTGTTGAATTGCTCTAAAATTACATAGTTTAGCAGACCCTTAAACCAACTGTTATATGTCCAAGTTAATTATCATGTAAATGTCACCATTCTGGAAGTTCTATTTTGCAAACTGCTTTCTGATTTATGTTCAGTTGACTGCTTGAATACCTGCACTTCTAACTTGTTCTTTTCTAGCCAGATAAATTTCAAAAAAAAAAAAAAAAAAAAAAAGAGAGAAGGAAAAGAGTTCTGGAAGAAATGAAAAGTATGGGTTGGGTTTAGTTTTCATTGCATGGAGTGCTGTTAATTGCTTATTTGAGGATATTCTCATTTATGTTATATAATCTGGTAGATGAACTATAATTCTCAGAATTCATAGTGGTTAAAATTGAATTAATCAAGGTATGTATATCATCCCATTTTATACCTATTGTAGAAAGGTTAAGTACCTTTGTGGTCACTGGGTTCTTCACGAAAATTGAATTTGGCCACTGAGAAATGTTTTTAGCCAAATTAGTCCCTGTGTTTCCCAAAGTTTACAATTTATAGACATTTCTTTATCTTCTTCCCATGATTTCCCCCAATTTGTTAAACCCTAATATACCCCAATTTGTTGAGTTAGAGGAAGAAGACTGAAGTTGCCTCCTAAAAAAATAAAAATAAAAACTGCACTGAACTGAAGATAACAAAATGTCTATAAATTGTGAACTTTGGAAAACACGGTGGCCAATTTGGCTAAATTTTTTACTCAGTGATCAAATTGAATTTTCATGTAAAACCCAGTGACCAAAAAAGTATTTAACCCTTGTAGAAACTCCATAAAATGACCAGAAACTCCATAAAGGCATGCTTGATTTATAAAATGACTTACTTTCTGTAAATTTTATACCTATTGTAGATACTCCATAATGAACAGAAAGAGAGAAGGGCAAAGTTTCAGCAACCCCATAGAATGTCACAAAAAGGATATGTGGGTTTGGAGGCAGAATCAGTAAGTTCATAGAATTCCAGAATTTCCATCACTTTCCATTTTCCTAGGACTACTTTGGAGGTAGAATCAGTAACCCATACATTTGATTTGGTCAGAGGAAAACTATGCCTGAGGATGAACTTGATGGGTCTCTACTTTGCAAGAAAGCATGTAAGGATAGAAAAGGGCAGGCTGCAAAAATTGTGAGTGCTAAATCTTTTATAATCTATTGGCTATGATATTATTATAACTAATAATGATTCATGTGTTTTGCATTTGTTTGCCACAGGACCTTTTGACGAAAGAACATTCTGAACATTCTGACCATTCTGAACATGCAGAACATTCTGAACATGCAAAGTATGCTGAACGTGGAGAACATTCTGAGCACACAGAACAGTCTGAACATGCAGAACCTTCCGAACATGCAGAACATTCTGAGCATTTAGAACATCCAAAACATTCTGAGCATCCAGAACATTCTGAACATTCTGAACATTCTGAACATTTTGATGTCAGTCTCTTGTCTAAAAATAATGATGTCCTGACAATGGCTTTGGGAGCTCCTGAAGATTCTGGTAGGGTTAGAGGTGTGGGAGGCTTTTTCAAGCCAAATGTTCCACAGGCTCAGTTTGATAGGGAATATATTCTGGATGAGGTCAGGAAGATGATTGAGCAGCAGCGGGCCTGGTATGAAGCAAAGATTGTTGAGTTAGAGGCAAAGATCAATGGTAATATCCGGACCACACCTATCTCACTTTCAACTCCAGTTCCCAACCGTTCCGAGAAGGCAAGCTGTTCTGGGAAGAAAAAAAATGTCTTGGAGGATTATGCAATTAATTTTGAGGAATTGACAGTTGTGGGTAAAAGAGACACCATCAAGGTAAAAATTTAAAACATCATTTCTAATAGTTTGATTTATATCTTTTTATTGTATTTTATTCATATGAAATGTATGTATTGGGGCAGTTCGAACGCCCGTAATTTGGTGGAAAAGTATATACAGTGTTCTCCATGCTGTTCTGTTTGTTGAGGGGAAACTATGCACGTTGCAAATATGAATGCGGCCAACCAAACAGTCCACGGTGTTCCATTGGCAGAGGGAAATATGAATGTTCCTATTGATGTTGCCCTTGATAAAGGAGTGCTGCTTCCCATCCCAGTTACTGAGCAATAAGTGACCATTGGCCAAGCTGTAGGGTCTCATGTGGCTTGATCAACAGAGCTTGTTAGGTTAACATTAGAGGAGATCAATAACTCATGATATAGTTATAATATGTCACTGTTCAACAGTGGAGTTCATTTTATGATGTGCTTACCTTCAAACAGTATCATTTTAGTTCTCTATGGACTTCTCTTGTCTTCTACTATCGTCTGCCTTCACTTTTGTTTTCCAAACACTGTAGAAACGTCGAAAGACTGCAGCCAAACCTCAAGATTTACCAAAACAAGACGTGAACCTGCCCAAGTCCCTCAAGCTCCTATATCGTTATGCAGAGCATGCCATGCTGGATGGCAAAACTATCAGTATTGATATGGAGGAAGCAGTATTTGGTGTTGCCAAGACTGTATACATTTCCCAAGAAGATGTAATGCAGTTTATGGAAATGAAGGAAATCTCAGCCACATGCATAATTGTTTACATGAGGTAAATACAAATTTATTTATTTATTTTTAAAAAGACTTTTTTTTTTCAATGGGTAAATAGAAAATGCTCATGATAGCTTACATTATCAAATTATATTTCATATTTCTCTTATATCATTACGATCATTAGTTGGTTTTCTATTCTTATTTACTGTACTATTGAGAATCTAAGTTTCTTCATTATTTGGTACTACCAATGACTCTTATTTTCTGTAGAATGGAAGTGCTTATTTCTTTTTTTCTTTATTTTTTTGGATAAGTTGGAAAGGTCTGCATGCACTGCATAATATGCCATGAGGAAACTGTTCATTTTAATTTTGTTTTTAAGTTCTTGTTAATTTTTTTTTAATTTTACTTTATTTGAATCTGTTTTTTACTTAGTTCTTATGACTAGAGTTTTTTTTATTTAATTTTAAAAATATTTATGAATCTTTTTATTAGAAATTTGGATAGGACAGTGCTTGGCTCCTTCCCTGGAAGGAGCCATTCCTCCTTCATGCAAATAAGAGTTTGACACATATGTATCATAAAAAACACAAAAAGAAAAATTTATACGTACATGTCAAACTTCTACTGGCAGGCAAGTAGGATCCAAGAGAAGTAGCCAAGTAATTCCCTAAATGGACAATATTAGCTAACATAGAAAAACACAGGGACAAAATTGGCTAAATTTAAAATGCATTGACGAAATTAGCTAAAGGACTAAAACACATGGACCATTTTGGTATTTAACCCTTTTAACTGTTATGTGTGTGTATTGACATTGGTTTCATCTCCTTGGTCTTTGGCATCTGCTCAATTTGGGACGAGTCACTGCCCTGTAATTTTTAAAAAAAACATAAATGTCAGTATAAAAGCTGGTAAAAAAAAACGTGGGATATGATATGTGTGGACCCACTAAATTAATCCTTACACACTTATGTTTTTTGCAGGCACCTCTACGGTAAGCTAAACCAATCAAACATGGTTGATATGGTTGGTTTGACTGACCCTTCAAGCATCTCAGGTGGGGCAGGCGATTCCGACCAAAAATCACGAGTGATAGCAGCCCGGTTACAGAAAGGGTCTGCTGACCAAATACTCTTGGTTCCTTACAATTCAGGGTAAGTATAGCCTTCTATATTTGCTGCCAACCTTTTTGTGTGTGATGAACCGAGCTAGTAGTTGACTGTCAGGGTAAAATGTATCGCTAAATCATTTTTGTCCAATATGTAGTTATCATTGGATGTTGACCATCATCAGTGAAGACAAAGATGTGTGCTACTTCATGGACCCTCTTCAGCGATATTTCATGGACTCTCTTCGGCGGAGCATGCGTGAGGAAGAATGGAAATATGTTGTAAACAAGTAATTAGGTTTCCCCGCTTAACTTATTTAAATGAAATTATTACACTAATTGTTTTAGATTGTAACCTATCTTTTATGTGCTGAAGTGGGATTAGACAGTTCAACATCCAAACAGGCAGGGGAGTCCGAAAGCCACCCGTATGGAAAGTACTAACGGTATGTTATTATTATTCATTTACCTAATAACAAGTAAGATGTTTTGAAGCAATAAATAGCAACTGTTACACTTATTGAATTGTGTGTAGGGTCCTAAACAACCATCGAATATGGAGTGTGGGTATTATGTGATGAGATACATGAAAGAAATCGTAGAAGATGAATACCTTTCCTTTGCAGAAAAGGTACAAATAACTATTCTGATGTTTGCCGTGAGGGTGTGAATTTTACTGGTTTAACAAGGTTGTGGTGCTTCTTTCCTCCGCAACGTTCAGTTTATTTATTTATTTGCGTATTTGTATCATTTCTTTTTGCATTGATTGCTGTATATCTTCTGAGGTGTGAATTGCTAGTTATTATGCTCTGTTTGTAATGATCATCTGATAGGGATCAATTGTTCAGTCAGAGGCCACCATGGCCATATTTGTTCAGAAGCATAGTTGTTTGGACTTTAATGTTCTATGTTTTTCCCTTTGTTGCATATATAACAATTTATGATTTACTAAATGGTTCTTTACTTTGTTCCAGTGGAATGGGAAGACGTTAAATGCCTACACACAGACTGAACTTGATGAGGTACGGTGCGAGTGGACAGATATCATCAGTGACCATATGTAGGTGTTTGCTCATAGCTACCAGCTGGAAATTATATATCTGCAAGAGTTCGTGCGATAGATTTTTTATATATTCTCTTTCAATGATAGTTCAATTAATTTGTCTAGGGTTAGGGAGTAACTCCTTAAATTTACTGTTCTTTCAAGTATTTGGATATGTAAACCCCTCTTACTATCAATGGCAATTTAGTACTTCTCTAGGGGTAGACAAATTGTACCAAATTGATGGGATGTAGTAATGTTATGTTGATGATGGAAATTCTGAGTCTGGTGGTATTATTGAAAAAACGCAGGAAGATAAATGCAATCCAATTTGGCATATAATGTTTGTTGCCATTATGTTCATGTAGTGTACGTAATACAATAGTTGGCTTATGCGTCATAGCTAAGATCCCAAAAGGGGGATTCAGAGTGAGTACAAAAGTGGGAGAGTGTTTTTATAGGTGAGAGAAGGTCCTCATTTCTTGCAATATGTCGATGTGGGATTTCTTGGTATTGTTTCTAGTTGCTTGGCCAGTCACAGTACTGATTAGTGTAAAATTATATATCATTTTGTACTCTTCTAACTTATGATTTTGTTATGATTTTGAGTTAAACTTGTGCTTTAAATCTCTTTTGTGTTTATCATTTAGTTCATTGAACTTTAGGTAGCAATGGTGGCTTTGGATAGGAAAATGTGCAAAATGGTACAAAAATGTGCAAACTAAGTTAGAAATTTGTTTCGGCCTTAACTCATTCCTCCGACCATGGATTGGCCCAAATGACATATGGTTGGAAAGATGACATTCTGAAGCCCAATTCGTGGAAAGATGACTTCAAAATGGATGACTCAAAGTCATTAGTTGCTTAAGGGAAGCCTAATTTGTGAGCCCATGGAGTTGCTAGTCATGCTGACCTAAAGATGAGCTGATTGTTGCTTGGTCATGATGAGTTATGCATGAGCTATGGTTTATGGTGAGATTTGTTGGTGAAGTGCAACAACCAAATAAGAAAAGAAACTGATTTTCTATTACATTGGTGTGTTAGGTGAGGTTGGTGAAGTGAGTGTTGTTGGTGGAGGCATAAATCAATTCAGAATTTTCCTTTCATTCTCTCTATAAATACCACTTCCATTCCACACCAAAATGAACCACTTCCTGAAATTCACAATCCCACAAACCACTCAATCCATCCTCCAACACTCCCATCATTTTCCCAAACACATTCAGAAATCACATCCTGGATTCACACTCCCACAATTCATCCATCCTTCAGAAATCATCCTCAAACATTCCCATAACCCCAAACACTCCTGCAATCAACCCAAAGCTCTAAATAGCCCCAAATCACCAAAACTATCCTAGCAAGCCTCTCTTCCATTTCCCTACGAATTTCCTCTTTTTCAGCCACCACCACTCACTCAAACTCATCCTAGATGACATCCATATCCTTCATACATCCTTCTAGACGTGGGGAAGTTCTTGGAGAAGCATTAGATGTGGAGAAGCCCTCAGAAGCATTGGACACCACAAGAACTTCATAAATGGGTTTTTCTACTCTTATTGCATTCATTGTGTTTTCTTATTTCTGTTCAAGTTTCTTTCCCTTTATGAGTAGCTAAACCCATAACTAGGGCTTTGATGTAAACTAACATGAATATTCTGGGTTTATAAATTTCAAGTTTCAAGTTTGATTCATAATTCATGTTCTTATTCATTATGCCTACCTACCTATATGCTAATCGAAATGCCTAGCTACCATTCAGATTTGTGTATCTTGGTTTGAATTAAGAGTAGACACCATGTTTTAATTCAAATTGAACTATAAATAGGAAGAGTATGTATGGACATTCGACAACAGGGATTAGATACATACTTGGTTGTTTAAAACATTCTTCTATGCTTAATGGATTCATAATGCTTAATTTTAGGTTAGACAATAGATGATCAAATTAGGGAATTAGGAATACAAGGTTAGGGCCAGACACCATGGCTTAATCATACTTTAGTTAGAATCAATCTTTGAATATGAATTGGACTTGTCACTTGAATCCTTATAACCTAGAAT